TGGCCCCCCACGCCCCACAGCTCTGCAGGGTCGGGGAGGCCCGGGTGGGCCAAGCCTGGAACAGGCGGAAGTTCCCAGTCTTGCCAGTGTCACCCCCGCCCTGTGCGGAGTGGAACGTCCCAGCTCCTTAAGGGCCTGGGCCATGGCAGGAGCCACCTTTCCTCCATGGCTGCTGCTGTGCAGGTTTGCTCTGCATCTGACGCTGGTGGCTGGTGGCTGGTGGCTGGTGGCTGGTGGCAGGACAAGCAGCCAGTGCCTTCGTCGTGTTTGGGAGATGTTTCCGGGGAGCTTAACTGGAGGCGGCGGTTGCCGCCCACAGTGTAACATTCCAAAGAAAGGCACTAGAGTCCAAATTAAAGGCAGAATGCACTGTTTATTCAAGAGGCAGATGCTCTCGGGTAAGGTCCCGTGGTCTGTGAGCGCAGGCCAGGAGAGTCACAGCCGGCAAGGGGAGGTGGTGGTTGCTCGCGGGTGAGGTCCCGTGGCCTGCGAGAACAGGCCAGGGGAGTCACACACCATAGGGGAGGCGGGAGGATTATATAGGCAGGGAGAGCCGTTGCTACCGGGATGTTTGTTGGTGACGGTTGGGCTGGAAACGGGACACTTGTCTGGGCTGGAAAGCCCCTTGCCAACGTTCAGTTTGTGTTTTCGGTTCCCTTGGCGCCCATATCCACCTGGACCTTACACACATGGGCATCGGTTGGGCGCCGTGGTGGGGACTGGAGCCTGGCGGGGCCACACCATGCAGCCGGGCGCTTGCTTTTCCCGCAGGCCCACCGCCCCCTGGAGCCTGAAGTCACCGAATGTCAGGGCCAGACCAACAGGTTGAACCGGGCTGAGGTAGGGAGGTGGGAATTGAGAAAAGAAGACAGGAGAGCGGGATCGGGAGGACTACAGATCAATCGAGGAACTGCAGTAAGTTTATTAACCACATAATGCCTTTTATGCACAAAACACTGAATAGGGGTCTGTCAAGAGGAATGTATTCTTTGTTCCTCTTAATCTCTAAGGGAGAGACACAGCAGAAGGACAAATTCTCAGTACAGCATATCTCAGTAAATAGTTACAGACTTCTTGGTAAGCTATGACAGGCTGTTCTTATTTTACAAAGGTTGCTCTCATTCTACTGATAATCGCCATCCAAACAAGTCTGGGAAAACTGTGTGG